CAGGAGCTTGGCATAGATTATGTGCAAGGGGACGTTCCCGCGCACCCCTCCTTCCTGAGCGTGACTTCCACCAAAAATGATAGGGCGGCTCCGCCACTACAACCATCGGGGGGCGGGAAAGACCTCATCCTCCTTCTTGTTACCCCTCTTCCCACACCTCTCCCACCCCCGCCGGGGAGCGGGGGGGGGGGGGGGGGGGGCTGACTGCATGGAGCGCCCCGCATGCATCATGATACGAATCGTGATCGGGTTAGATGTCTAGGTTAGAGTTGGTACTGCTGGATAGCAGTAATAAACTTATTTTTTCGAAATGACTCGGCTTTAGAATGGGAGGATAGCCCAGTGCATCACCTTGAGTGTTGCGCGCATGGCATCCCTGCTTGCATGAGATGAAAACGCTAAGCCTCGATGGATATGAAGCCTGCACTCCGCCACAGAGCCGGCGACGATGCCGGTGGAAGGCCTATTCTATGCTTCCACACGGCGTATGGTGCCGCCGTCCGAATGTGACGCTTTCCTGACTTGCCGATGCAGCCAGCCTGCTCGGCGGAACCAGGTTCTTCGCGACCTCGGGGGGGCCAAACACGACACCGTCTCCTGGCCTGCACACAGGCCGAGCGGCTGGTGAATCTCTGCAAGGACAAAGTTCCAAGGGCCAAAGTCCGCACAGAAAGACCTCTGGAGGACGATTCGCCTCGATAAACACACCCCGTCACAGACGGAGCATGCAGTCCTGAAGATCCGGGCGCCAGGGAGGCTGTGGTGAACTCTCATGACCCCATCGTTGCACCGTTCGCGTGCCCCAGCATGGCCAGGTATCACGACTTGGTCGCAGAGGCGGCTGACGAGGTGGGACGGGCGCTTTGCTGGGGCGAACGACGGGATGTGGCACGCGCAGGAGACGGTGGGACGGCAGTCTGTACGATATCCTCACGTGGGTTTTCGTCGCGGAATGTCTTGTCGCGTTGGAGTTTGATATCAGGAGCTTGAAGTTGCTAGCATGATTGAGAGTTCATACAGACACAAACAATCCAGACAAGATTCTACTTGAAACATGATCCGAATAGTAGAATTAGTGACTTGTTTTGCAGGTTCAAACAAACATACTATTGCCGCTTACATCGACTGCTTACTGTTTCAACGTCGGCAGCGACTGCCATCTACGACCCCCGGCGAGCCGCATGCAGGACCAGCTCGACGCCGTGCTTGTGCGAGTCTGGCCGGGGAGGCTCAGATTCCTTCACTTTCGACGAGGAGCACACGCCCAACGCCCCATCTGCAGTTCGTCCGGCTGTACCACTCGACGGCACGTCGGTATCACGAATATGTGCGCGAGTGACGGGAATACCAGGCAGAAGCGCAAGGCAGCAATCACGTTAACGCAGATGGACCAGGCTGGAAAGATGTATCTCCCAGATGGAGAGCCGCATTGTTTTGGTGCGCGAGGCGGCCCGCGTAAGTCTGTACTACAAGCACACGGCAGGCCGCGCAACCGACAGAAGCGGGAAACGGGGTTGCGATGAGGCGAAATGGCCTGCAACGGGGTCACTGGCTCCGGAACGGTTCAATCCTCACCATCGGACTGTGGTTCATCGGGCGGTGGCAATTTATGCGGCCTAGAGTGACATACTGATCTACAAACAAAACACTATAGACGGGGTTTAGACAGACATAATTGATGCATCTCTGGATAATAACATCCCTACCCTCATGCACACACGCGGTGATCAATAGCACGGCCTCGCCAGTGACGTAGTAGCCGTAGCCGTCGCCGTCGCCGTCGCCGTGGCACAGACAAGAGACACCTCGCAACCCAGGGAGGAGGTGGAGACGACGAAAGCACAGCGTGCACGTTCAGCAGCATTCGAAACCCGCATCGGATGACTGGACACAAGGCACGGCGGATGGGGTGAGAAAGCCATCTGTCTCATGAAGAGAAGCTGATCCAACCCAGCATGTTTCGCGCATCATCGGACGAGAGCGCTTGGCGGGCGCTCGACGAAGCGACGGCGAATAGCACAACCCAGCCCACCAGCCGCTCCGACTCGCTAGACGTCAGAGCGAAGATCAAGACACACCCGAGGGGACCTTTGAATTTTTTCCCTCACACTCTCGAGGACCCATGCCTGGTGATCCTCGATCGCGATGTGCAAGTTCAGGGAGGCAAGCGGGTTGCAAAAAAATAAAAATAAAAAAAATGAGACGTACTGAATGCTTCACCCCAGAGATCAATGCGCCTGTGCTGGAGTCACCTGCCCACCCGGGCGAAGAGCGGCGTTGCGCCGGCTGCACTTGATGTCATGTCCCGGCGAGCCGGAGGGGAAGGGCCGGGCGTTTCGGTTGTGCAGGCTCTCTGGTCCGGCTGACGAGGTGTGAGTGGGTGTCCTGGGTGTGCATTGGCAGCCCACGCAAGGCGCTCCGCGTTATTGGGATGGGCTCGGTAGTGTGAGTGGTGCTCGTGCCTCTGTCTATGTGTGTGTGCGAAGGACGCTGCGCCCTGTGGATTGGTCGCTGTCAAATGAGCCGCCCTTCAATCACGATCGTCAACTTCAGGCAAAATTGAAGCGGGCTCATTGTTCTAGCTCGGCTCACCTGAGTTCTAGCCCGTGTCCGCAGTTGCAAACGCGCAGTTGCATCACCAACCTAGGCGGCTGAGCTGAAGTAGCACTACGGGTGAGTCGGCGTGGGAGATTGAGTCCCGGTTGCGACTCTGGTTGGGACCCCCCCCCACCGAAACCCCGTATCAGGACCCCAATAGTGCGGTCGATCGTGTATTGTGTTGGTGATGGTAGGCTGGCCGGGCCCTGGTGTGATGGAACGTGCCGCCTCGCACCAACGAACAAACCCCCAAGACGCCAACACATCACATCCCATTGAGCCAGCGATCCCCCGCCAGGTGCCAGTGACGTGGTCACGGGATCAGCTCTCCCTGCGGATTGCTCAACGGTCGCTTCGACGCCCGCAGGCCAGTAGGTAGACGCCTCCTCGACTGACGACCGTGTACATATGGTGCTTTGCTTGGTCTTGGCGCTGGTGGTCTTGCCAAGGCTCCGGCAGTGATGTGAGCGGGTTGAGCGACCAGTCTCCCTGCCCAACTGTACTGTCGCTCCGAGACAATGTCCCGCGAGAAAAGCAAAACCCAGGGCAAAAGAAATGATGGCAACGTGATCGCCAGGGTTTCTTCCCCCATTTGACCAGGTAGTGTGACGCCTGCGTTCCATCGTAAGGCCGCACTCACAGCGTGGTATTCTCTTTCCTCGCCCTTTTGTTCGAAACCCCCAGCACGCCCAAGACGCCGTGCCATGTGGTGATGCAGCAGTACCACTGGGGGGCCAGATCGGAGGGGGGCAGTGGCCCGCACTATTGAATCCCTAGAACCTTCGCACCTTCGCTCGCGTCCCGCTGCAGCTCCACGTCGGTGAGGGAAGTCTGCCCATCTTGCTGATTGGGGACGAGAGGTCTCAGACCAGACCCCCAGTCGCCTCGTGCTTTTATGCCTTGTCACATCGGCTTATTTCAGGCCTCATGTTCGAAAGCGCGAATGCGACGTGGTTCCCGGTAGAGGATTCGCCGACGGACTGGCCATCTAATGTTTTTGACACTCTGGGACCAACATGGATCCAAGACGATGCTCCGTCGTGATTTTCAGAGCGTGCAGCCTTGTTTGAAAATTAAACCTGGAGGGCCAGGGCAGGGGCGCCAGATCGCATAAACAGACTGACGCCTCCGGCCGAAGTGGTATGTTTGAGGCGTGTTGCGGACAGGCCAACATGAGATCAAAGGGTGGACCGACGAGGACAGGGCGCTGTCAGCCCTGGCCACTTTTGCAAAGGAGGGGGAGGTCGGTCAACGGTGAAGTTTGTTCCTTCTCCTTTGGACGGCGGCTGACACGTCAAAGTTCCACGATCTCGTCGATCCGGCGTACGATGGGCGTTTGAATGCTTTTTCACCCCTCCCAGCCGCCTGTGTTGTGTGCCGTCCTACGCCCGTCCAGCGGCCCAGCCTCATCGGTCTCAGGCCTCTTGATGGGGGGTCTCGGACCCTTGGCTCGGAGCATCAACATGCGATGCGTCGTGCGCTGAGCTTCTGGCGCTTGCATGTCGGAGAGGTACAGTAAAAAGCAACAAGCCTGCGAAAGTTGGGGTGATTTGTCTCGGTGCCCGTGCCGTCTCGGGAGTTTGTCAAGACTGCATCATGGCGCCGTGAAGGTATGCTGTGTGTGTCTCTCTCTCTCTCACTCTGTCCCGCGCCAGGCGCGCAACACCTGCACTAGGACGCCAAGCTGTCAGCGTTTGTGGCGCGACCTGACAAGTGAGCAGGGCAGACGAGGCATGGCGACCACTCGGGACGGAGCGCCGTGCCGGTTGTTGAGTGGTGGTCCAATGTCCCGCCCCAGAGAGGGGTGTGTAGCGGGCAAATGAGTCTGTAACAATGTAATTTCAGCGCTGAGGCCACTTCTGTGCATACATCGACAACAGCGCCCATGGGGCGGTCCGGCAGGAGTCACAAGGTGTTCTATCGATTCGTAGCATGCGGGCAATGGTCGATTTGGACGGTGAGTGGCACACTTCAGGACTGTATGGGAGAGAGAGGGGGCGAGAAAGTGCTATTGGATGTTATCGTCTAGGATGCTCACACCGTCCTTTCGAGCATGGCGGTTTGTGGGGGCCGAGAGTGTCGGGGATGCGCCTCTGTAACGCTGCATGACATGTTGACGGCCCAGCTGAACTGCCCGAAGAATGTCGCTGGACGCGTGCGGGCGTTTTTGGGACGGACTCTGCGCAAATGTGTACTGTGAAATATGCAAATGTGCATCAGCACACATGGGAAAAAGCAAATGCTCCCTTGTGACACGGAGCTAGCATTAAGCTCAGGCTAGCAAGACAGTGAAATGTGTATACCAGACAGCGAGAGAGAGAGAGAGAGAGTGTGTGTGTGTGTGAATAAACACAGGACACCTGGATTCGATAGATCCACCGGAGACTATCGAGCGGTCGGTGAGGCAGTTCAGGTCGCCAGTCCGGAGGCAGACTCTCGGGCCAGTCGCGGACCCGGACGTGGAGAGATGCACCAGCGATCGGCCCCAGCGAGGCTCGCTTGACGCAATAGCCGGCAGTCAGAAGGTTCAGGAGAGACATGTCGGCGGCCGCTCAAGCCGCTGCGAGCATCGCGCCAGATGTCAATAGTCGGCAAGCGAAGCGGGAGCTTGGCTAGTTAGGGGCCAGCCATCGCTTGCTTGGTAGCAGAGGCGCCTGTGCGCTGAATAGGCCCGTCTCCTTCGGTGATGCATACTGTACTGGTGCAACTGATTGGTGGCTGTGGCTGTCTGCAACGAGAATAGTGACAGTTCTGCAGAAATGGGCCAGACGCATGTACAGTATTCCCATCGTCAAAAGCAAGGGGCCTCCATCTCGATCCGAAGGTCTGTTCCCGCCCTACTGTAGCAGGCTTGTTCGAGCTGAGACTTTTGGTATGCAAAGCATCAGAAGACGATTGAAGAGTATCGGTCGGCGGCACCAGAAAGCGTCTTGGATGCTTCGGGCCAGATGCTTGTTGCTTGTTCGAGTTCGAGTTCGAGGGGGGGGGGTAAAGGCTTGCAAGGGTTCGGGAGATTTCGACGTGTTCGAAGGAGTTGACTGGCCATGATTCAGTGGCCCTGTTGTCAAGATCAGATCTCGGCTAAGGGCGCTAGGCTGAATTCGGTCTAAATGCATATCGTCGAAATCTTGACCGCCATTCGGGGTGGTTCGAGCTTCTTCATGCCTGAAAGGCTCTGCCCCGTGGCATTAAGGCAGCAACTTCTGGGCACTCATTCATCGGCCTTCGAACATTCCCTCTCCCTTCGGGTGGGAAGATTCCCCTTCCGTGGGTTGGGAAGATCAAACCCACTTTGGTCATCATGTACGATCCTTGTCATCAACGCTCTGAGACATTCCAGCCCTTGCTCACGTTACGTCCTCCAAGGAGACCAAGACCCTACCCTTCCTTTCGCTGACAACCAGCACGGCACATTGCACGCCCGCCTCATGGCACGGTACACGTCCCCAACTGGGATGCTTGTCCGTCATTGCTCCACGGCGGCACGCACAGGCACCGCATCGCGGAGATTATCGACCGCCTGTTCTAGTCAGCCTCGAGAATCTCTCAATCTCGTTCGAGCGCCCCAAAGTTACATTCCCGAGCCGAGTTACGAAACAAACCCCATGACACACGACAACAGCAACAGCAACAGCAACAACAACATCAGCAGGAACGAGGTCAGGCCAGGCCAGGCCTGTTAGGACCCATTCTCCCTGCCTGGCCGTGGGGCCAGCTCGTGATCGAGTACCGGAGCCCATGTCGACACTGGACCTCGAATCTCGACGACGGCTACGGCTACGGCAGCGACGGCCAATCATCCAAGATCGACGTGCACAACGGGAACGGCCAATGCGACGGGCGCACGGGGAGCACCATCATGGGCGCTCCGTCTGCACCAGCAAGCAGCAGCAAGCAAGCAGCAAGCAGCAGCACAGCTCGCCCGAGGCCGCCCCCATTGGCCTGGCCCGAGCACAGTCAGCAGCCTCATTGGCCCCCCGGTGGAGCTTCTGCTCCCAATACCTACCCTACTTGGCACATCGACAGCCTCACTTCTTGAGTCGAAAAGCCACACACGGCAGCGGAGTCCTGTCATCGGCTTCTCCATCACGCCCACTGTTGTGCAACGCTGCCCTGTGCGCCGCTGACCCGCTCGCTCCGCTCCCTATCCCGTCTTCCTCTCCTTCTCTCTCTCTCTCTCTCTCTCCCCCTTCCCTTGCCTTGCCTTTGACAAGCACAAGAAGCAGCAGAAGCAGGGATCACGGCATGGCAAGTAGCACGGACGTCCACAGGCGTGGCATGGAACCTGAGTGGCCCAGCCGAGGTGGTCGGCCGTCAGCAGCCAGGAGGGCCTTTCGTCTGCCTCCTCTGACCCCACCATCTCGTCACCTGGCGCTTTCATGCTGTATTGGCGGGCTGCGCATCCAGGGTCGGTACGGATGGGCGACATGACGGGCAGAACGAGACATACTATGTACATACAGGGCTGGCCCGACTCTGCGCGCCTCAGGCACTTCTGCCTCCGCCTCGCCGCCCTGCTGCAGCAGGACGACATGCACGAAAACCTGGGTGGATCACGCACCGCACCTTGTCAGACAGCCCAGACCAACCAGGACAACCCTTCCCCCCCTTGGTGCTGACCCATGATCGCTCGCCCTGGTGCCACCCTGATCATGGCTTCGCATCGCATCCTGGTAATGTATGACCAGGCACAACACGTTGGGTGCCACCACTGGACGATCTGAAGGCTCCCTTGGCGTCCCTTGGTTTTCTGCACAGTCGTTTCTTTATCGTTCTGCGAAAAGACCCCCAGACCATCCTATCGGGCGCATGCTTGGGGTTCGCCTCACACACCGACCGACCACCGTCATTTCTCTTAACGCCCAGAGTGCACCATCAGGCCAACCTCACGACCACATGGGAGACGCAATGTGAGCCAACGACGCCTCCCTCGCCGCGCAGCTTGCCACTGCACACTTGTGACTACGAAGTAGACGCGCCGCACAGGCTGCATCAACGGAATGGGATTTCAGCCTATGAACTGTGGCCGAGCCCACTAACCTGGATCGACCAAGTGATGGACA